ATAATAATAATAATTGTTCTTAGGTAAAGAAAAATTCATCCGGCTAGGGATGCAGCTCGGTGGTAGACTGCTTCCCTAGTATGTGCAAGGTCCTCCTGGGTTTGATCCTCAGCACCACAGAGACCCTTGAAAGCATCCTATTATCTGAGGAACTGAAAAAAGAAATGAATGTCACTTAATAAGTAAAGCCAAGAGCTTGGGGGTTTAGCTAGGATGGGGAATTTTGTGGGAGTCCAGGTCCAGCCCCCAATCCTCGCTCTCACCCCTAGCCTATGTGCCTGGTTGAAGACATTACCTGACTCTAGGCCTGCTGTATGTACTGGCCGAGTGGCTCATCGGATAGTCAATGAGTAAACCTTTAACCTGAAGGTAGCGTGAACAAAAGCCAGTGTGCCTGGATTAAAAACCCAGCTCCAGGCTGCTGCTCCCTGCCTCCCGGCTGCCTACTCCACTGTCTCTAGAGTGGATGCTTACTTAGCTTCACTAACTAAACTGCTGCTTCGTACTAAAGAAGCTCCTGCTGTCCTGCTAAATCAACTTCTGCTCAAACTGTAAGCAAACAAAAAAGCCAGCTCCAGGCCGAGCCACTTTCCTCCAGCAAGTTTCTGGACCTCTCCGAAGGAGGGTGCTCCCTTGCGTAAACTAGAAAGTGATCATGGTTCTGCACAGAGATGTGAAGACTAAGTGTGTTGGTATTTGTAAGGCAGTTAGAGGGTCCCTGGCATGATGTGCTACACTTATCTTCTAAAAGGTATTTCTGGGGGGCTGGGCGTGGTGGCACACGCCTTTAATCCCAGAACTCAGGAGGCAGAGGCAGGCAGATCTCTGTGAGTTCAAGGCCAGCCTGGTCTACATAGTGAGTTCCAGGACAGCTGGGGCTTCAGGGAGACCCTGTCTCAAAAAGACCAAAAAATAAAAGGTATTTCTGTAGCCTGGTCATACTAGTGAACTTACTGTAAGGTTTCAAGTGTATCGGAGGCACTAGAGAAGACACTTGATGTTTTTTGTTCTCTAGCCTCATGCAGCCTCCTAGAGTCTGTTACCTTGGAAACCCTGACCAACTGTTACCGCCTCTGCCTTCTCAGGATATTGCTCAACTTGATCAAGGCAATTTGATTCTTTGATTTCTTTGATTCTGAGGAAATTCTTTGATTTCCAAAAAGGTTTCCTTTGACTCAGCTAAGAAACTCAAAATGATTTTGCTGGCGGGCAGGAGAGAAGAAAGGAAAGGATTCTTCGAGAACCAGAACTGTGAACCCGGCCCCATATTTCATCCCTTGGTACCTCGGGAGAAAGAAATGGTGTTAAGGAGATCCTGGATGGTTTATTGGTTGTTTGTTTTTCTTCTGTGATAGTGTTTTTTGGTTTTAGGTTTTTTTAAATATTTTATTATTTTTATATTATGTGAGTGTATTTCCTGCATGTATCTAAGTGCACCCATGTCGTGCAGTGCTGGTGAAGGTCAGAAGAGGGCATCAGATCCCCTGGAACTGGAGTTACAGAGGGTTGTTAGCCACCGTGTGGGTACAGGGAATCTAATTCAGGTCCTCTGCAAGAGCAGCCAGTGCTCTTAACCACTGAGCCATCTCTCCAGCCCCTTGCTTCTGTTTTTTGAGAGAGAGTATCTCTGCCTAGCCCTGAATTCCATGGAATTCCATGTATAGACCAAGCTAGCCTTGAACTTGTGGCAAACCTCCTACCTCCTGTCTCTTTACCGCTGAGGTCACAGCTACTATGTGGCTTTTCAATACCTCACTGTGTACACTCTTTCTCAAGTCCTGCTCCAGGATCTAAGATTACATCAACTGATCAATTTATTACAAAGGCAAGCTCTTTGCATTCAGAAGATAGAATATTAGAAGTTAGAGTGCTT